GGCAACCCAACTGCGGAAGCGGCGGACGAGCCCGAAGACGGAGGCGAGCGGAGCTTCGGGGCCCGGAAGCCCCAGCCGGGCACGCTCCGACCTGTCGAGCCTCCGGGGAGCCGGGGGACGGCAGGGCGGGGCCGGGCGCGGCGGCAACAGCCTATTTAGATGGGGGTGGAGTCAGGTCGGTGGGAGGGACTGGCAAGGAAGAGGAAATAAAAAGGAGGGAAGGGCGAGCCGGGGAGGATTGGCTGCGATGGCTGGTAGAGAGAGCGGATTGCTAAGGACTCAGAGAGAGGGAGCAGCCGCGCACGACCCAAAGCCAGACCATAGCCGGGGCTAAGGAGGTGACGTAACCTCCTGACAACCCATATCTGAGGCGAGCCCTCTCCAAAGAGATTTCCTCTTTCTCTGGCGGTCCCTCCCAAGGTCCTGTCCGCTTTGGCGACCCCCGCAGCGGCAACGGACGCCACGGAACGCAGGGACGGACGCCCGGGAGAGCAGGAGGAGGGCCACAGATGCAGTGGCAAAAAAGGCAAATCCAGTCTTGGGTTGTATTAAAAGGGCCATAGCATTGAAATCGCAGGAGGTCACACAGCCCCTCTGTATAGACTGCCTTGGTCAGGCCACACCTTGAGTCAGGCCTCACTTCAAAAAGGATGTGGCCAAAATCATCGAGAGGTTGCAGAAGAGAGTGACGAGGGTGATCAGAGGTCTGGAGACTGAGCCCTGCGAGGAAAGGCTGAGGGCCTCGGGAATGTTTAGTCTGGAGAAGAGGAGACTGAGGGGGAACATGATGGCTCTCTTTGAATATCTGAAAGGCTGTCACTTGGAGGAAGGCCAGGAGCTGTTCCAGTTGGCAGCAGAGGAGAGGACCCGAAGCAACGGGCTTAAATTACATGCAGAAAGGGTACTGGCTGGACATTAGGGAAAACTTTTTCCACAGGCAGAGTGGTTCAGAGGTGGAATTAGTTGCCTCGGGAGGTGGTGAGCTCCCCTTCACTGGCAGCTTCCAAGAAGAGGCTGGACGGATATTTGTCAGAGAGGCTTGAGGCTGGTCCTGCATTGGGCGCAGGGGGTTTGGACCAGATGGTCTCTGTATGGCCCCTTCCATAATTCTATGATGGAAACTGTCTCTGCCTTACAGGCCCTGTGGAACGGCATGAGGTCCCGCAGCAGGGCCCTGGGCAGAGAATTGCACTAGGTTGGGGCCAGGATCGAGAAGGCTCTGGCCCCGGTTGAGGACAGCTGCTCATCTTTGGGGCTGGGGATCAACCGAAGATTGTTATCTATGGAGCGTAACGGTCTTCCAGGAACATACCAGTCCCATAGATACGTCGGTCCCAGGCCACGCAAGGCCTTAAGGTCAGCACCAACACCTGGAACCTGACGTGGTACTCCACTGGGAACCAGTATTGCTGGCGCAGCCCAAGTTGTACGTGTGCCATCTGTGATGTCTCCGTCAGGACTCACGTCGCCACGTTCCGGATCAGTTGGAGCTTCTGGGTCAGTCTCCAGGGCAGGCCAGCGTACAGGGAGTTATTTTATTTATTTATTTTATTTAACTTTCAGTTTCTATACCGCTCTAACCCCAAAGGGTCTCTGAGCGGTTTACATACATTACAGCTCCTAACTAGGGCCACATATTCTTGGGGAGGTGAATGCCTATCAGGCACCCTACCGGCTATTTTTGATGTTCCCTCCTCCGCGGCTCTTCTCTCCTTTGATTCTGTGCAGTAGATGTCTTTCTTGGCTCGGCTCCGCAGCGGCTCCCTCCGGGCAGTTCTGTTGTCCGCGGCTGTGCGACAGGTTTTCTGCATCGGCCACTGTCCTAATTGGCTCCGGCCGTGCTTGTGCTGCCGTGTCACCGCGTCTCCGGACCAGTCCTTGACCTGGAATGCTCGCTGCTCTATGTTAGTGTTGCCGCCATTCTCTGCTGAATCGCCGGATCGTCAACACTGCGCTCCTCTCCAACGCCGTTCCACCGGAAGGCGGGTGCCCCCCTGCACCTAAGGCAGATACCCATTTATCTACTTGCAAGCTTTCGAACCACTGGGTGGGCAGGAGCTAGGACGAGGGCCGGGAGCTCACCCCGGCTGCGGTGGGACTCGAACTAGCCTTGTGGCTAGTTCGTAGATAGAATTACCTGCAGGCTTTTCCAGCCTGCGCCACCGCTCAGTTACAGTAGTCTAGCCTGGAGGTGACTGTTGCATGGATTACCGTGGCTAGGTCAGGGCGTGACAAGAAAGGCAAGCAGTCATGGTACACATTGGCACCAACGACACTGAGAAATGTAGTTCTGCAGTCCTAGAAGAAAAATTTAGCTTACTAGGCAGAAAGTTAACAGCTACCTCAAAAATAGCGTTCTCAGAAATCCAGCTGGTTCCATGCACAGGGCCAGCTGGACAGGCACAGGTTAGGGGTCTCAGTACATGGATGAGAAAGTGGTGCCGGGAGGAAGGGTTTAGATTTCTTAGGCATTGGGGAACTTTCTGGGACAAGCCAAACCTCTACAAAAGAGATGGGCTTCACTTGAACCAAAAGGCAGCTTTTAAACTAATTCCAGGAGGTGGGGGGGCTGAGAGAGCTTTTTCGAGAACAGCTCTTAACAGAACAGCTCTGAGAGAACTTCTGACTGACCCAAGGTCACACCATCAGCTGCATATGGAGGAGTGGGGAATCAAACCCGGTTCTCCCAGTTTAGAGTCCACGCTCCTAACTGCTACGCCAAATTGGAGGGATGAAGAAGAAGAGGAGGAGGAGGAGACTGGGTTTATACCCCGCCCTTCACTACCCAAAGGTGTCTCAGAGTGGCTTACAAACTCCTTTCCCTTCCCCTCCCCACAACAGACACCCTGTGAGGTAGGTGGGGCTGAGAGAGCTCTGACAGAGACTGCTCTTTTTCAAGAACAGCTGTGCCAGAACTATGGCTTGCCCAAGGTCATCCAGCCAGGTGCAAGTGGAGGAGTGGGGAATCAAACCTGGTTCTCCCAGATTAGAGTCCGCATACTTAACCACTACACCAAACTGGCTCTGGGATGTGCTGGGGGAGGTGTTGCATTGTACATCAAAGAGGGCCTAGAATCAAATAAATTAAAAAC